GTGTGTGTGTGTGTGTGTGTGTGTGTGTGTGTGTGTGTGTGTGTGTGCTCTAAATGTCTTAGATCGAAATTGCAACCCCAGCCTGTTGAGTTTCGTGTCAAACATCAGCACCACTGAGCCCTCTGGTGACGGCACCCCCGGACAGGTGCAGTGGTGGGACGCTCAGGGCATTGTTGGCTTGATCATCTTCCTCTTCTGCACTCTCTATGCCAGGTAGGTTTAAAACCATCACAGTGTTCAGTTTTGTATTATTTATGTTTTTTGTAAACCTGTCTCTCTCCGTCCCTTCCCTAGTATCCGTTCGTCCAGTAACACCCAGGTAAACAAGTTGATGCAGACGGAGGAGGGTGGAGGGTCCGGTGGACAGGGCGTGGTGGGAGAGGACGGCATCCTCAGAGCCGTGGACAACGAGGAAGAGAGAGTCTCTTACAGCTACTCCGTTTTCCACTTCCACCTCTGTTTGGCCTCTCTGTACATCATGATGACTCTCACCAACTGGTACCAGTAAGTATCTGTCACCTACAAGACTGTTAAACGCGTTTTTGAAACTGTAAATACAAACTGCATTCCATCAAGTTCAGCTCCAGGGTCCGGACACTGTGCATGCTGGCTCACTGGCATGGCTGATGGGGACACATCGAACCATCTTTAAAGAAATGTGTACCGGTGATCAACAGATATGATTGTAGTTGAACTTGACAAAATCCAGGTGCAAGTCTGATTACAGAATTTTGCCTGTTACAATATTAGATATGGACCGATAAAGTATGTGAGACAGATACTAATGCAAACAAACAATTGTATTACCCAAGCTGACGGCACGATTCTTCAGATATGTAATGCAATATCTCATTCAAGAATGTATGCATGTTTGATGCTTTTCTGATGCCCAAACATCTTGACACCAGAAGCTTTCAGTAGTTGTTGCACAGGCACTGTAGGCCTCCCGCTTGGCCACCAGAGGGCACCTCCCCGTACCCGACAGTTATCCATTCCTTGAACATAGCTTGAATGTCATTTTCTAAAATCAAAAAGCCCTTCCCCTACAGTGCAGTTTCATATGTGAAAAATACGAGGACACAAATTTCAGTGCATGTGTTATGTTAACTTTAACTTTTAAGGTTTAAATTGTACTTTTGCCTCTGTGTCCTACCTCAGACCAGACACCACCTCCCAGGCCATGCAGAGCCATATGCCAGCCGTGTGGGTGAAGATGAGCTCCAGCTGGCTGGGCCTCGGCCTCTATCTCTGGACCCTCATCGCCCCTCTCATCTTCCGTGATCGGGATTTCACCTGAGTATGCCTATGCCTTGTCTTTTTAGCTGTATTAGTGGTTGTTTTGTTTCTCGCCCATGTATCCGGCTGTGTGAAGGATGCTATGAATGAAATGTGAAGGATGTTAAGAAGGAAATGCATTTCTTTTTTTTTTTTTTTCAATGAATTGCCTCTGATGTTATAGTGCTTGTGTTGTTTTACTTCTCTCAATTCTATTTAGTTTGACGATCACTACAGATTATTTGAAAGTGGAAATGGATATTTTTTATTCAGCCTGATTGGTGGTGGTTTTGGCTCCAAGAAGTTATTTTTTCTGCCAATGCCTCCCCTTCATAGGCCACTCCCAACCTTCCGCCTGATGTAGTCTGAACTATCACAGAGACTCAAAAACAAGGCACTTTCTCGATAGCTCAGCTATTTCAGTAGCAGGTTCCCTTTTAAGGGCCTGTGAGGTCTGACTCCTCTGATTGGCCAGGTCTGGAATCCCTGATTAGCTGGACTCTTTTAGTGCTGGAGGCAACGAGGAGAACCCTCCGTAGGAGCCCCAGAGTGAGTGTGAGAATTAGATAGGACGAATATGACACGCCCTACAGATCATAACAGGGCTTCCCTTTAGCTGCTGGGCTGTGTGCAAATCCACGTCATTATACCTCAAGCCAGAGATTCTTAATAGACCACCAGTCGAAATCTCAGCTCTTCCTCGTCCACTCCAACATAGGATAATTTAACTCTGGTGCTACGCCTTTCTATGTCTAACAACCTGTACCTGCATAGCGGTCTGTTTGAAGCAGGGAGACGTGTATTGATCCATAGCTGTCGGCATCATGCGATGTGCAGCGATACGGTTCAGGAGCTGATGGCTTGAACTCCACAGACCTGTGCTCTCGCAAATGCCATTATTTCCAGAATGTTGCAGCAGAGCGTGCTATTGAGTAGAGTTGAAGAAGGGAATTCTTAATTGTTACAAAACAATGATATATTTCAGAAATGATGAATTGCTGTTAAATGGTAATGACTCTCATCGTGTGTTTATGGTTGTGATGGTGCTATCATTTCATGCATTTTCTAGTAGTTACCTTACTTTCAATGACTTTAAATAAGACCAACATGTTTTGTACCTTCAAATGCTTTTGGTACAATCCTGAGAATGTTATTGTTTGTTGTGTTCTTTTCAAAAATGTCAATGCCCACACATATGAATTTAGATTTCCTGTTTCTCTGGCTGCATAATGAGTATTATAAATAGTGTGTTGCAATGAATTCAAATCTTTTTATTTTTTTTAGATCAGAAAATTTTAGAGCATAAAAACTCCCACACATTGTCTTCCTCACTTGCATTCCGAGATATTTCGAAAGCTTTCGGTACACAGACCTTCATCGGGTTACTTTACAAAGCAATGACAGAGCATGTCTTAAACCAATCAGGTCACACTACTAAAATGACATCACTCAATCAATCAAGAATCATGATTACCAAAACGTTGTCACTGACTATTTCTGAATGCAAGTGAAGAAGACAGTGTGCAGCAGTTTTTATTTGTTCTGTTTTTTGAAGGTATTCTCCTACGCACCTGTCGACCTACTGGTGTGCAAAAGTTTGCTCTATTTAGATCGAAGTGTTAAAATGTCAAAACGATGTGCCTTATTGTAGTCCTGCGTTTCAAGAAGAATTAAACACTAATGCTGACGTGTGCTCATTATGCCTTGCCTTACATTGTGGTCAGTCAGTCATTGCATGCCAGTAAGGCATAGGCTTATGACATGAATTAATATTAATGTATAAACACTGTTTTTAATAAAGATGGAAATATATCACTCACTCTTCGTCTTGATTGATCTTCAAGAGAAGCCTTTCACTTGTTTCATAAGTGAAATTATCCTTATCGGTATGCTGTGTGTAAAAACTACAGAATATTTGATAAAAAGATTTGATTACCTTTTGATTTACTAGTAGCAATAATTACTGGTAAGCTAATTAATACATAGACGTTCAGGGTGATTTAGGAGCCCCATGGATGTTATTGATTGTGCATAACATCTCCCTATCTCTAAGTACCACCAGGGTGCAGATAGTGTGAAAGCACCTTTTGCTTCCATACATCGCCCCATAGATTTAGGTCATGAGGTACCAGAGTTGAGGACAAAGGAGGGGCTTAGACATCACAGCGTGTTCCCTACTAAGTACAGATGTTTATCATATGCATAGATGACAGTCCAAAACAAGTCAACCATATGTTTGGCACGTTGCTTCAGTGCTTTCTGTCAGATTACTATTTGGCCTTACTCTGCCATGTCCCCTGCTGTGTTTCACTGTTTGCTCCATAAACTCTGAACACCGCTTATCAGCCACAAATGTCTTGACCCTTCACTGTGTGTTTGCTCTGCCAATTTAGCTTTCTGTGACAGAAGTCCAAAGATAAATTGAAAGACTTTTGAATCCAATTATAATCATATAGCTCTGACCAGATTTTTGACTAATTGTAAACCAAATCAGTAAATGTGTGTGATGTACTCTTGTTCTACCGAAACAGAGCAGTGTGTGGCAGTGTTTGCAACCTCTGCTGTTTTATTTCCTTCTCGCCTGGCTGGCAAACGGAGCCTGTTGGTTTTGGCTGCTACAGTCACTCCAACTAGTTGGCACAGTCTGGATCTGTTCAGGACACACCAGCTCCTGTCAACTTCCACCCTCCCACAACACCACCCCTCGCTTAGCCTATCCATGACGATCCTGAGTTGATGGATTGTGTCACGCTTTAGATGATAGAATGAATTCTCATTTCCATTGCATGTTGTGGAGGAAACGAAGACTTCCCTGACGCTGTAGAGAGGACAACAGCACACAACTGTAAATGTAAAAACAACAGCTATGAGATTGTTTTTGCTATTTGGCAGAGGGGGAAAGAAAAATGGTAAAAAAAAAAGTTACGAAAAACTAGAGCAAAAAAAGGTCAAAATGTGTTTTTGTGTCATTACAAACACTGAAGTTTCAGCGATGAAAGTCAGGGGTCAGACGCACGGAGAGGGTCCGTCCAGTCTTGTGCGATCATCATCGTCGAATGCACAGACATTGTAAGCCAATGATGTCACTCCTCTATCAAGAACAGACTGGTAGCATTTCCACCAAATCGTTTCAGTTTCATTGTCCTGTCCACTTAACACAGTCTCACTCTTTTGTCTTTCAAGAACTGCCCTCACTCTTGTAGGCATACCTCATATTTCTTTTCACTTTTATGTTATTGATTGAAGCATTTATAGTATCTAAGTTTTACGAGACCAAAGAACTCTTTGCACTATACTCTTCCATTAGTCTCCTGAAATTGTACAGCCTCTCAACACAGCCAAGAGCGTCTGAGAACAAATTAGCTAAGTGTCATGAATCTCACTTTTATTTCCCCCTGTTATCATCAGGTTTACAAATGTGAACTCGTTTTTTTTTTTTTTTGCCTCCTAGGATAGATTTAAGACACTCTCCACCTTTGGCCATTGGCTCCAGTGTCATAAATCCCACCTTCATTTCCTCTGTTATCGTCAGATGCAATTTGTCGCTGTAATAAGAGATCAGAGGCTGTAATGTGCTGATTATGAACCACTTACTGCAGCTCTGCGGCCGTGCTTGGTTAGGCATCCAGGGATTTTTAATTGCAGATTGACGGAAACAATGGTTATCACTTGCAGTGTTATCCCCTGACCTTAATCTCCGCTTACCCTTCCCCACATTAGTCTGTAAATGTCAGCGTTTAGCTGCATTTTTCACTCACTCATGAATAAGGTCATTCTCACACAGATCAGCACTCTGTTTTAAGCTTTGTTTCAGTGTTTATCGTTACAACCAACAAAGCTTGAATAGTGTCCCTGATGTTGATCTGGATAAGCATCGTTTCATGAGAGGATTGTGCATCCCTGAACACCTCTTTGACAGAACTACTGGAAATGCCCGTCTTAGGTGTAATTGGGTTTTTAAGAGTGGGATCCAGGCCCATTAAATTATGTGCTGCATGCAGGGGAGTTAATTGAGTTTGAGCCCTGCTGGCATACTGCATGTGCACTGAAAACATTTACCCAACATTAAGCCCCAATTAGGCTTTTCAGGATGGGACACTTGTTGCTGGATGACGGGAAGTGAAGATGTCGATGCCTGTCAAGACTCATTTCGCTGTTTCTTTCCAGTGAATACAATGTGTGCTCTAATAGTTTGTTTCTAATAAATTGTTAAACTTCCACTGGACTTTCATTGTTTTTCTGATTTTGCTGCCATTCTCTCACACTGGCAATGCAGTCACTAAGCTGAAAGTCTGAAAGTTGGAGTGTGTTTCTGTGTGTAGGGCTCTCCTGTGCGCATGCTCTCCCCCAGCTCAGAGGAGCAGCTAATGCAGTTACATAACAGTCAGTGCAGCCGGCGTCTGCTGTGAGCCAAATGCCAGGCCTGTCTGGTTACATAAGCCTGTCAGAGTCATATTGTAGCAGTACAGAGCGCTCACACCACAGCGTGTCCCTGCACTCCTTCCACCGTCTCCTGCTCGGTCTCTCACTTCCTCCCACTGTCTGCTTTGCTCTCCTCTCCTCTTTTTCTGCAACTCTCCCCACCTTCCCTCTCCTCTGCTTTCCTGCCCTTTCCTCTTGGCTGCGGAGCCGTTTCCAACACCCGGAAACAAAGAGTTAGCTTTGCTGGATGCAGATGCATGGACAGCATTGAAACATTGAGACAGAAAAGAGGGGGACTAACTGCACGCTCACATGCAGAGAGGACGAAACGCTTCCTATTCTACACTATTTCTCCTCCACTGAACATCATTAAACATTTACTTGCACTTATATGACTTTTTGTGAAAAGCAGCTTTAGGCTTCTTATTGACTCCCTGTGTGCCGTGCACTATGGCAGTGATGATGTCACTCAGTGGAAAATATGAGCTGTGTTACCGGTCACCACCACCTGTGAGCTCTGATGTCCACAGGCCTTCAGAGACCCATTTGATCTCAAAGATGCCGACACATCCACCAGGACTGCTTTTCTCAGTGGCCCCCAGCACTCCCCCCCATCCATGGCCCTCAGGCATAAGGGGGGTCAGATTGACATGGCCATCAGAGCGGCAGGAGTTTCACTCAGACCTGTGCACAATAGATTGCACAACACTGCCCATAAAGTCTGAACAGTTCACACAGCCATCCAGGAGTTCGTTTATTTATGGCCCCAGATCTTGACCTTTCATTTATTTATCATGCAAGTGCCGCTAAGTCAGCATTACTTTAAATATAGGTATAGCAGGAGGGTGTGATCGGCGGTGATGTGGTGATGAAATATTGCTGCAGAATTAGAGGAAAAAGGAAGAAAACCAGCTCAGATCAGAGGGGGCATGATTAGCCCAGTCAGCCTCCAAAACACTTGTTCAAAGCATGAGGTTGCCTGGCTAATTGGAATTAATAGCATTAACCGGCTACTTCTCCGCTCAACCAATGGCTGCCTCTGCCACCTCGTGGTTATTCATGAGGCGGGCTTCAACGTGCCAGCCCACTGGTGGAGGCTGAGAGGGGGGCGGTGCCCATCGGACCTGCCGTGCGGGGCGGTGCGGAGCACCGGGAGTGTGTTGTGCGTAGGGCGCGATGTTGTTTTGTTGTGGCGATCAGCTGAATGTGGGTCCGGTCTGACACAAACCAGTGGGAAGCACCCCGAGCCCCTCCGGCTCTCCTCTCCACCCCCACCGACAGCAGCTCTATCCAGCATCGCAATCCAGGAAATGCGGACTTCTGGCCCCTTCGCTACGGGATAAATGGCTGCAGCGCCCGTACTGAAGCAAGCTGGTAAATATTAAACCGTAATATTACTGCCTGTTTATCACGCAGTGTCCGTTGCGTTGCAGCGGCTGTCACGTCGAGGAGTGAAGTTGAGCGCATATAGCGTCCCACCCGTGCGTTCACAGTCAAGAGTGTGTCATGAAGTTGAGTTGCCTCGTTCATGTGTTGTGTTGATATGCGATGTGCGAAGATGAGCTGCATGCATGCAGGCACAGCGGCGGTCAGTTCAGAGGGATTTTTGGGGACTCTGAACTACAGCGCGTGCGGCGGCTGAAGTAGCGGCGGGTGCGCTGCACATCCAGCTGACAGCAGAATGTGCTTCATCACGTATAGCGTTGGTCCATAATAACAAACCGGCTCAGGAGAGCAACAGTGCGGGCTGACACACGCAGGCTACGCACACATTCAGGATTCCCGAATCATTCCTGTGAACTTATTGGGCTACACCTACACTGGCCGGATTTTTAGTGGATGACATCATGCTTTTGTGCTCAGTTGATCCGCTGTTATATGATAGATGGGCGAAGTTGACCAAAACAAGTTCAATTTGGCAGCTGTTCAATCAGTAAGTCCGACTCTAGGTTAGTCCCTTCTGTTATTTTGACTGTTTTTAGGGTCCGACTTCTCACACAGCGTTCACCTTTGCACAGCAAGGTAATCGTGCCAGTGTTATTGTAATTTGCATACAGACACAATAAATTACTGTGTCACTGTTGTTTGACACGTTTATTATGCTAAATGGTTTCCTTACAAACCATGTATCAAGTCATCATCTACACCATCATCTACATGCTGAACAGAGCAACAGGAAGTCACGTTGAGTTAGCAGCAGTTTTAACATCTATCTATCTATCTATCTATCTATCTATCTATCTGTCTATCTGTCTGTATGAGCTCTTAACTGTCAATACTTTGAGTTTCGCAGTATGACCTGTGAGTATAATATCGATCAAGTAAAGAAGCCAGAAAAATAAGAGGATTGACTCCAGGCAAATTCGTTGCATTTTGTGTGTCTCCGATGCCAATTTG